CCTATACCCAATGCTCGTATGAGGCATGTTAGCAGCATTTTACGGGTGTGACAGATTCTGTTATGGTCAAAACTATCTCTGAAATCAAGGATTTCTACCTATTTATTTCTAAAAGCACAAGTTTCAACTCCTTTAAGAAATACAATTACTTTTACCCTTTTGGAAATATTATTCATTTTACAATTAATTTAAGTTTAACACATTTAGAGGGTATCTGCAAGTCATTATGTGTGACACACTCCTAAGTTCATTATGAATTTGGATATGTGAGAAAGTAGCTTTGTATGTTGTTGGGGTAATAAAAGCCCATTTCTGAGGACTTTGAGCTTCAAAGTGGGGCGTCTCTTTAGCACCAGCGGCACCTGCATACGCCGCTCTTCAACAGCACCTCTTACCCACTGTCTGCCATAACAGATCATTCCAAAATGAATCATATATCTAAGCCAGAGACGACTACCATGACTGCCAACTGGTGCTAGAAAGAGGCGTTTGCGCGCCGATAATAAAACACATGAAAATGTATAAATCAAACGAAAAGCTGCTGCAATTCAACTAAAATATGAATTAAATTTTACCTGCTTAGATGCAGATGCGCATGAAATGAAAAAAAATATATAAAACAAATGAGAATACGCTATCCGACTGATAGATACCCAGTGCTCGGAAGAGCTGCGCAGGCATATAAGGTTTTAAATCGTATATATTTGTTATACATATACACATATATATAGATGGTCAGGTTTACGAACTGAGTGTGGAACTCGGCCAACTTTCAGTTTCTAAACAGGAGAAAACAAGAAAATATTCTGAAATTCAGAAATGTAAATTTTGATTAAAAACTATTTTGAAGTGCACAGAACTAACATTCGGAGTTCAATGAGAACATCTTGGCAAATTCGTATTTTCTATTCCTTTCTATTTAAATATAGTTTGTACAGCCTTGTAAACACTTTGATGTCTACAGGGTATATCGTATATATGTGCATATATCCAATTTGAAAGGTCTATTGAGAAAATATTGTTTTAAATGTGCACAGCGCTGAACTTGACCCAATGATATTTAGTTAGGCATTGCGGCACTGCCATGCTATGTCATGGAGGCCTGATCTTGGTCTAAGAAAGTGCCACCACCACCAACAGCAGCACCACCAGTTCCCAGGTTGCGGTGGCTGACAAATGACTAAGGTCGTATGCGGCCTTTGTCGAGGGGCGGGTTTAGTTTGGACGGGCGGTAAGAAGGTCGACGCTGCCTCTGACTTGTCTTGACTCGACTCGACTTGACTTGACTTGGGTTGAGCTGACTCCAAGTCTGACTCGGATGCATCACACACAGCTGCAAGCTGCGGCTGGGACGTCATCGCTTGACTTTAGCAGGTGTTCCGCTAGACAAAAGATGCACCAAGCAACAACAAAAACAACATCAACAACAACAACAAATTGAAGCTGTTGATGCGCACGAATTCCGTTTTTAGCTGCAGCTTTTCGCGCGCTGTTTCCATTTTGTTGCAATAAAATTTTAATAAGATTTTTTATACTTAGAATATAGAAAACATATATATGTATATATATGTGTGTATCGGCGACAGTTAATAAAGCTACGCTGCATCGTTTAAAATCGTGATGCAGCTCGACCGTTGCCTCAACACTTGCCCACTTGGCGATCGATCGTTGGATCGCTCGATCGAGCTCCATTTTTGTATTGCTTTGCATTCCCAACTCCTCCGATGCATCGCGATGGCTTCATCTCCGGCCATTTGCACTACTGCCATTGATATTGCCACAATGCCTAAACGCTTAAATGCTTAAATGCCTTATTGTTTATAGCAAAATGCAAATGATTTTTATTTTTTTATACGCTCAACGTTAAATGTTGTTAATGACAGTCGCAGTTGTGATCGTCTTGAAAGAGATGCACTTTTGGGTGTGGCGTTGTGTCTATTAAAAAAAATTTATAATATATTCTCGTAACTATAAATAATAATTGCGAAATCAAAGCCAGCTTCGTTTATGCGTGGATATAATTGTGAAAAACAGAGATTTTGAATTGAACAGATTTCGATTTTAGATCCTTTTCATATTCGTTCACAAAGTATAAGTTTTTTTATTTAATTTATATTATTTATATAACAGTCTATATGTCGTTTTCGAAGACAGGGACTTGATACTTGGGATAATGTAATGTTGCAACTTGTTTATTCACTTGTCATATTCGTGGTCGAAAGTCGATATTTATCGGTGGCTTATCGATAAATGCTAACTGTATTGCCGCTAGCTTTGACAGTTTTCGTGATGGGCTTTGTTAGACCGACAGACATGGCTATGGTTGAAGAATAATATACTCTTCTGTCTTCTTTAAACGGACCACACTTTAAGGAATCAGCCATTTTCAATGTGTGCGGGGCTTAAGGAATGAAAGTTATGAAACACTCAACTATTTTCAAATGTACAAGGGCTGTCCTTCAAATGTAATAGTTTTCTTTTTGTTATAGAGTTATAGATAAGACTTGCCTGGATTTCATTTAAAGAAGTAAACTTTTTGTTGGTCACTTGTAAATAAACATCAAAATTATTAAGATAACTTAATTATTTTCTGACTTCCAAGAAACCTTCTGCCGGCTGTTGAAAACATTCCCACAAAATGTTTTAAGAACCTTTTCGACCGCATATACAGGGTATCGATATGAAGCGGTTGCTCCTAACTCATACTAAATGATGATGACAGCCTAATTTCAGACATGCTGGGTAATTAAGCGAGACAAGGCTAAGGGCAGGGGTTCATTGGATCGTTGGATCGCACTATCGATCGATCTCTGGTTCGGTTTTTCGGTAGCCCTTGCAATCGCTGGTGGCCTAATGACTGTATCAATGTTTGGCAGTGTGTGGCAAAGAGTAGGAGCTACAATTTATGTGCATTTTTGTTAAGCGGCGGACACGCTGCACACTTTAAGTACCGTGTGAGTGAGCATGAAATTGCCGCAGGACTTGGCTGGACTAGGCAGGATGCCAACTGTGCGCAACATATGTTATGACTTTGAAATTTCCCAAAAAAAAAAAAAAGAACACGACTAATTTTGTTAGTCTACGTGTGCTACGAGTACTTCCTAATCGCTGGCAGGAAGTTTGAATTGCGTTTTGTTTGCGGGCCCGCTGGAAAATTGTTGACATGTGACAGGACTTAGCCAGCAGCAGCCGAAGCAGCAGCAGGCCGACACGAGCATCTAATGCACATTTAAATAAGCCTTTTGTTGGCTTTTTGTTGCCGTCCATTGTATGCGGCTCACAAATCCAGCGACTTTTCTCGACTCAGTCGTCGTCGGGCTAAGTACACGCACATCGGCTTAGCCACATTGGCCAGATTGGTAGATCGGTTAGGACTCTGCTTTTTCTTTTGCTATTTTGACCAGCTCTATGATCCTCTGGGCAACTCCTAATTACGCGCGTGAGCGCTCTAAATGCGGCAAATAGACATTTGTGAGTGGGGTTAGGGGAAATATTGTTGCTTGTTTAGGTCTAGCGACTGGTAATTTCAATTGTTATTATAATTCCTTTATTTTGCTTTTTATTTAAACTGAACACACACACACACACATGAACACACGCACGACACACGCACGTCTCGCATCGCTCATCCTGCAATGATCTTTGGCTTAGGCAGGTTTGTTTGCATTTTGCTGTAAATCTTTTCTCATATTTTATATTTCCTTTTTTTGGCTTGCATATTTCTCTTTTTTCTGGCAGCAAGGCGACTTTAATGATGCCTTTTCTCGGCCACGCCCACTCGGGCTATAGTTAGCCCAGTGCCCATCATAAATTTAATTTTCAAACGCGCTCAACCCAAGTGTTGACGGCAACATTTGATGGGCAACGGCAACAGCTGTTTGGCTACCAGCGGCAAGGGTGTGGGTAGAGCAATGGACGAGGGAGAGGGAGAGGGAGAGGGGCGACTGCATTGTGTGTGGCCGGCTAATTGAGTGACCAACCGTGAGGGTCAACAGTTAAAACATATGAAACAGCAGCAGTAACAGCAGCAGTTAAAATACATCTTAATTGGCAAAGGCCAGCAAGGAACTAACAAATTTGATATCCAGTGCAGATTGAAGTGGCATAAGAAATATTGCCTGACAATATATATATTAGAAAATTTAGAAGTTTGCGATTTGGTTGCATTTTTTGGCGGCCAAATTCGGTAATTTAATTGAGGAATTATTAATTTTACCTAAATTAAAAATGCACAAAATCCGTAAATTCAATATAATGATAAATATAAGACAAATTATATATATTCATATACTGATTTTTTTTAATTTATCTAAATACTAGCCGGCCTTGCTTCTCAAATATCTTTGAAAATAAGTTGAATACCGATCGGATGGTAAGCAACAAATTTTCATAAAACCGTTTTCCGCCAATTTACCATTGTTGCGGGCGAAATTTCCCAAATCGCTGAAACACGTATTCATTAAGTTCGTATGTAGAGCTTTGAAAATAAGTTTGAAGCAAATCGGACAAAAAAGCAATGAACAAAGACCCAAATCTCGTGAAAATCGGATGAGATTTCACCAAGTTATGATCTAGAGGCCAAAACCATGAACAAGAGACAAACCTTATGAAAATCGGTTGAGTTTTGACCATGTTATGGAAGTGGGATATTTCGAGCTATGTCTATATAGGATATTTGAGGGTACCATTCTCACATGAAAATTTGACCGCGAACAATACCTCCAGATTAAGATTCCAAATTTATCTAGTGGCCAAGTAAAGCTTCAAAGTCGATCCCCTTACCTGTTCTCTTTCCAAATGTGCGGAAAACAGTAGGTTGGGTTTTTAAGTGTTTCTTCCCAACGACTCGAATGTTATATGAAATGTGATTTCGCTGGGTGCAAAGGTGGTCTTAAAATTTAAAATTTTACCATGAGCGGGAAATGGATGCAAAAGTGATGTTAAAAGGAGAATACTCGATGTTCCTGCTCTAACCCGCTCTTTTTCTCTTCTTCTTTCAGATATATCTATATTTAAACAAGAATGTCCCCTCCTACCAAGTCAATAAAATGAACGTGCTTTTTTTTTTGCATTTTTGGGTAAGTGCATATTTTAATATATATATTTGCATTTAAATTAAGTAAAATGTATGTTAAGGCAATTCAGACCTGGGCACGGGCTAACTTCCAGTAATAATATATTTTTTTAATATTTATATTTAAATTGTAAAATACAAAGCTTTTATATCTGTTTAAATCTGGGCTATTCGTTTGGAAATCATTTTCAAGTAAGATTTTAAGGTGTAGGTCATCAGGTTCGTGCAGTGGAATTGAGGGGGGGTTAGTTAGGCAATAGTATTTATATATATAATCCGTAATAGTGCGATCATTATAATAGCATCATCGTTTATTTGCAATCATGCGGCACATTGATTAATAAACTGATTATTCATAAACCACAAGAGGCAGCTTCTTGTTAATGAGCCGTGCGATGAGTTAAGCCTGCGCTTCTATTCGGGCTTCGGGGTGATAAATTTTCGTTTCGTGTGAAGTTTGATAGCTGAGGTCATGCCGTGGATTTATTTCCATAGCTCATATATCATGCGGGCCCAACGAGTTATTAACGGGGCGGTAGCTAACACCTGCGTATTAGCTGAATTTCCGCATTGCTTGCTCTTACCCCAAAGTCCAAAAATCAAACTCAATATCACAATCAAAACGAAACGAAACATCCACATCCATATCCACAGTCGGAGCCCAGTCACTGCCCCAGACATTGACCCAAAAATATGATGGAAACGAACGCAATGTACGATCCAATCAGTTATAAGCACGTTATGATATATTTTCTCTTTTTTCCCCCGCCAATAATAAATCAAATGTTTTGTATATGATGACTTGGCGTGGGAATTGAAAACAGCGAAATAGTTTTAATATTGAAAGGTGAGCAAACAACATCCACCAAATCAGGAATAGAAACAAAAACAAAAGGTAATCAATTAAATTTCTTATCATTGTGGTGCATCTAGTGTTTGAAAATCAAATGGGCGCCACACAAAACAGACTAGAGTATGCTGGCAGGTGAGATGGCTGAATGCTGAAATGCCCTGGAAAATAACAAGAGCAATTCAAATGGGATACAAATGCTCATGAATTCTTTTAATAATCATATTCGCTTTACCCAACTGTATAAGCCCTTTGTGGCTCCTATTGCAGGGTATTGATATTGAAAGTGTTTTTCTGAAATCACGAATTACTTGTAAGTCTTTGGAATTGATTTGTTTGGCTTTGGCAGGAAATGTTTAAGTTTGAACTTGCGCACACTCGAATTGGAAACAAGCTCTTCCAAGTCTGAATGATTGAAAATGCAATTACAAATCATTGACAGTTTGTTGTACTAATTTCGAGTTAGACAGAGAGAGAGATAGAGAAGAGAGCAAGATCTAGATAGATGGTAAACGAGAAGGCGAGGGGTGGGCTGCTTTGGGCTCATCAATCATGTTTACAAGCAAACAAACCATCTAGAGAATACGATCCTGCAGACAATGCAACAAAATTATATCATGTGTTAAAAGTTATGACGGATCATCGAAGGTGTAAAGTGTCTGAGGGGTAGCAATGACCGTTTTTATATTTTTTTTTTTGCACAGCTTGACTTTGAAGCTGTGCCACAATGCTCCGTTCCCCTCCCTGGCGTGCATCCACTTTCCAATCATTACTCATCAGAGTTGACGACGCATTGTTGATGGGATTTCCGCTTTTGAAGGTGTAGCAACAAATACAAAAATACAGAATTACAAAAATACGAATATACAAAAAACGCCCAATCAAAACGAGCCAAACAAAAGGATCGTTCAATATTTTTGATTCCATATTGACAGGCGGGCATACAAATTGCTTGATGATGCGCCCAGACACTCAGTTAGCCAATCTCTCGTTGTTGTTGTTGTTATAAATTAGCTCAAACTTCGTATACACAATGCAACACGGCCATCAATCATTAAAAGCCGAAAAGAAGAAAAAAATAAAAACAAATACCAACCGAATGCGCAGTTTAAAAAGACAGTTCGTTTAACAGCCTCTAGCGATAAGTACGAATACGATTTACCAGAGACCCGAGTTGAGGTTGGCTGAATCTGGCATCTGGTTTGCTTTAAAATGCCCACTTAGTGTCCAAATATGGCAAAGATGAGCAGTTCAAATGTCAGTGAAGTCTTCTTCCAGCTGCATCTTGAAGCCTTCATCTGCAAAGTGCGCTTCCAAAATCTACAGTTTTTTGCCAACCTTAATTGACTTTACGCAAGAATCGAAAATATATATGTGTATAAAGTTGAAGAAGACTAGAAAATTATCATGCATTGTCTATCGTTTTGCTGTCAAAGCTCAATATCTGTGACTATCAATTGTTTTCACATCTGAGTTATCTTTTTAATTTCGCGCAACGCTCCATGCTCCACGCTACAAAATTTCAACTTGCAGTTGGCCTGACCCGGGTCAAAGTTGAGAGTGCCATGTGTGTGCGCCGCGGCGTTGTTGCTGTTGTTGCTGTTGTTTTCCTAGCTATTTGCTGGACTAGACCCGGCTCTCGGTGCTGCTCAGTGCCCACATTCAACGCTGGCCATGTGTGTAAGTGTATGTCGCGTGTTTCATTAAGGCGACAAAGAACAAACCTCAACAGCAGACCCAGACCCGGCCTCAGATTTCCAGCGATGATCATCGGCGTCGTCGTCGGGCATATTGTGACCTCAAAAATTGCGAAAAAATAACGAACGTGCGGTAAAAGCGTCGCCAAAGGAACACTCAAAAAAAAAGCTTCCAATAAAACTGCATTCTAATGCTTTCAAGAAAGATTCCTTCATAGAATATTTCTGTGCAAATGCCTTTAAATAGAATTCTACTAAATTCATGTTGTCATTATTTTAAACATTATCAAAATGTTTTTGAAATGTTTTTCAATATTATTTAACTTTCAGAAGTTGTGAAAGGTTTAAAGAATTTAATTGATTATTTTTAATTAATCTTTATTTTGGCTATCACATGACAGCTAATGTATATATCAAATGTACGAAGTTTAAGTTTATTTAATCTACCAAATGAAAATTATTAAAAGATTAAATTGGGTTTAAGAAAGTCTCGGTGAATTGCGTGAAGTATTCCAAATGTTCTAACGTAGCTAAAAATCTAGCAATAGGAAAATGTTGTTGCGAGAAAGGAAATCTTCTAAATCTGACTATCCATAAGAGTCATGGGAGAAAAGGAAGTTTTCTTGTGCTCAGCATGCTCCTTTTCTGTTTTTAGATTCAAGTACCTCATCATTTTCTCGCAGTGCACACTTACTGCCTCAGATGGAGGCAAACCTCAGAGATGGCCTGGCCAAAACGGCTGGGCAGCCTCCCAGTTTTTGGCTTTTGCCTGTGTGTGAGTATGTGTGTTTGTTTGTTGCGCTGGTAGTTACGTTGCGCATTGTAGACGCGATGTGCCACACCTGTTTCATGTTGCAGGCTCTGGCTGAGGTTGAGGCTAAGACTCCACGGACTGTGGACAGACGCAGGAGAACCAGCCGCTGATCCAGCAGCCTTGTGAGAATCTTTTTTGGCTTGCCGTGTGTGTGTGTGTGTGTGCACAACAATTTTTGGTCTCTAACTGACCTTAGAGCTGTTGATGTTGCAGTTGTTCTTGTTGTTGCTGTGGCTGGTAACGCATTTCTTTTACTGCTAGGCGGTGTTGGTGGCTGATAATGATGGACTGTATTAACCGTTAGCTGGCTGGCTGCCTGCCTGCCTGACTGCTTGGCTGCTTGGCTAGTGTACGACAAGCGCTGGCAATCAGTGGACATTTTGATATTTGTTTTTTTTTTTTGTCTGTCTTGGTTTTTGGGAAAGACATTTTATTCGCAGGCCCCCCAACGCTTTCACTCTTAGGAGCTTGCCAAAGCTCGCAACAGTCCCTACCCTACGCCAAAACAATTTGAACTTGTCAAGGCTAATCAGTTTTCCTTTCATTTAGCCAGACGTTTACGACACCGACGTTGATGCATGGCCATGTCAGAGCCACAGTTCAAGCGACGATCACCAACATCAAAACCACCAGCAACAAAAACAAACAGCAACAAGCACTCTTTGTCGCAATTATCAAAAAGCGCGCAAATTTTCACACGCGGCCTATCATGGCACATTGCTGAGGCATCTAAGTTGTCCACACATCAGCACTAATTACGGCTCATTATAGTGACCAAAGTGTAGCATGTTGTCAGCTGGAGGACAACAGCAACAGCCCCGCTGACGATCAACGACAACCAGCGACAACGGCGACGAGTGGCAACAATTACAAGCCGCAACAAGCGCATTGGGCTCCAACAACTTTTAGCCGAAGCTTAGTTGCACTTAAAGAACTGCTCAAGGGATTATCCCAACTTAATTCTTCAGATAGGTATTGCCTGATGCATCTGAAGAATGAAAGGATAGTTTCTAACTGAATGATATAATGTTCATTGGGGGTTGTATTGAAATCCTTTATTTCAAGTCTTCACTCTTTTCGACATAAGATTATAATTCGCAAGCGCCTCTCGCGCTAATTGAATGCGGTTTAAGCTCTAATCAAAATCTTATCTAAATACTTATAAAGTATTTTACAGCTGTGGTTCTTGCTTTGCATTACAAGCTGCATGTCTAAGTTATTAGACCCGATTAGACTGTTGCGACTAATGCGACTCGTGGCGCAGTCAGAGAGAGATCTGAGGCAGGCATCTAAACACCTGACAGTTGTTGGCGAGTGTTGGCGCTACAATGTGACCAGCAGACAGTTGGTCAGATTGTTGGTCGTTGTTGTCATTGTTATTGTTGCAGTTGTTGTTGACGTCTCTGAACGTTTTGTCTGGCTAACCATTTTTGGCAGTAACGACGACGCCAGGTCTGAGATCTAACTACATAAATTGAAAGTAACAAAGAGAACGCGCTAAGGTTGCAACACCAAAAGCAAAATTTGTATTGGCAGAAATTCTATGGCAAATGCAAGAGCCCATAGACAAAAGCCAAAAGTGTCGTCTTAACAATTAAATTCTTCAGCTATAAACTGACAACAACAACTACAAAAACACTTTA